TGCACTCTCTAGTTTCCAAAAATGCAAGAATCACGAATTGCTGAACAAGCTCATTAGGTAAAAAGTTAGATGGGGGGGGGAGGGGACTTTTCTAACACCCTGTATACTTAAAGCTGCTGAATGCTAATATGATCTTAGATTGTTTCTTTTAACTACCTTTTTCCCGGGATAGTCGATTCCTCGGAAAACGAGCTTTATTGGTATTTTTCAATAACTCCGGTTCTATTGCAGCTACAGAGCTCAATTTTAGCTTGTGTGAAAGCTCTTGACAAGCTCCTTAAATTGATGTACAACTTTAAGTGTCCAAATGTAATTTTTATGGCGAAAGAAAATGCCGCTTAGTTTTCAAATGTGCCAACGGTCCTTTTAATTCTTTTTTATTTTTTTTTTTTCAGATCCGTTCGTGGAACCGGGGAAGACTTTCCCTCAACAAATTTGCCGCTGTGTTAAATAATATTGTTTGCTGTTACTGTAAATTATGAGCGTAGCTGTGTGAACTAGCGCCCAATAATTAAGATCCGCCCATAACCAATTAGTTCTTTTGTCCCAATTTTGTGTGCATTCTTTCGGTTCAGGTTAACGGATAAAATTGGCACGAACCTCCTTTTTTTCTTTTTTTCTTTTCTTCTCTTCTTTTGGCCCTCAAAACGTGCTTTGCATTTCTATCGCACAGAAAAATTGTGCCTCCGTATATATTCACCATCATAGGGTAAATATTTAATTTTACGAATTTTAAGTCATAAATCAATCCCTTAATGTAACCATATCCTGTAGTCTTGTTTATTTCCCATTTCAAGTCCGTAATCGGTTTTTTTAATTTCAAGTTCTGAATGATTTTATTGAGCTTCCCTCTGTACTATTTTTAGGTACGCACCCAGTTCCATTTTTTAAACAAATGGCATCTTTAGCTCTAAAAGTTAATACTTTGCCAAATGAAAAGAAAAAGAAAGGCATCAAAAACTTACTTTTCCCCTTTACAAACAGTGATCTAAAAAGTAAAAATATCAACTCTAAAGCCCCAAAATATGAGCAATCCACATCTGGTGAAGTAGCCTCTATCGCCTCGGATGGCGCGTACCAGATCACCAATCAGTATAGCAGAAACATCTATGCTTATCGGACGCAGAACCAACCACACGTCCATTCCGATAACGAGACAATTTATGGCATTGCCAAGCCAAATTTTAACAGAAGTTTAAGGGATTTGAAAACAAGTGCCTCCAATAGGCGGGCGTTAGACTTGGCAGAAACGAATACAAATGAACGGAGATGCAGTATATCGAGCTCCGTTTCAACAACATCTGAAATTCCATCACCCAAAAGATTCACTGAATTGCAATTATCACCTAATATACCACCGTACTCGCAGTATTACACAACTACAAATCCCACGTATTCATCCAGCCGTCCAGTAATTAAAAGCAAAGGAACAAATATTCCTCAGCGACGAAGTCAACAGCAGATTGAGCGTGACATACATCGCAGCAGTAATATCTACAACTCTGAAGCCAATACAGTTTGCAATATATCGGTGTTGCCTAGTAAGAATGTTGTGTCAGGAACAGGTGACCCACGACCAAAAACAGAGCTTTCTGAAAGTAAATCAGATCTCCCTTCTCCTTCTACCGCCATGTACGATATTAAGGACCACAAAAGAACGCCGCGAACAAATCCTATTTACAACACTTATTCAGCTCTTGAAAGTTCTGATCCCAACTACTGCTATTCGAAACGAATTAAAGATGAGGCAAATCTAAACTCCGGGTATTTTGTGCGTGGTTCTAAACATAGAAATACAACTGGATCAATGAATCCACCAGCTAAAGTTCTATCCAAGTCTATGATCCCCCAGCATTTGTTGCATACGAAAGAAATGAAAAATCAAAGCAACGCTCCCCCCATCTTTAAACGCGGTACCCTGATGGGATCAGAAAAAAATATTCAAAGAAACAACAGCATCAAAAAGAATGTTAGTTTTTCTCCTGGTAACGACAGAATCCCACTAGAAACCTCAGGAAACTGGCCAGCCGAAAATTCAATGAAAATGTCCCCACCTTTGCGTAAATCTACCGCTTTTGTTGCGGGCGAGTCGGTTTTTTTTCCGCCCGACTCTCAGTTAAATCCTTGTAGGCCGTTACCCTCAATTCCTTTTCGTCAGCAATCTCTCTTTAAACACTCAACACACTCAGGAATACGGAATATGAAGAACTTGGCGGGCAAGTGCCAAATCCAATCAGAGTCGGAGTCTGGGAGCGAAGCTGGAGAATTTTTATTTTTCCCTCAGGATGAAAGATCTTTCCCAGCAAAAGGTAAAAATGAGTCCTTGATTATTTTGGGATTGGTGGTGGCCCTTATCTGGACTTGAAAGTCTTTAATCTCACTTGATTTCCGAAGTTTTGAGTTTTCCTATTCATCATACCTACAGTTATTTAGTTGTATAATTTCATTTTATCTTCGCAGCAATATTACGTATTAGAAAAATATAAACACAGCACCATGTAGCCAAAACAAGACGAATGAAAATATTCAACAAGTAAGAGCAAAATCAAAAAAGGAAATAAAAGAAAAAATTCAAGAGAAAAATAATGAAAAAATAAAACACTTGAAAAAATAGTATCCAATGAAAATAAATTAAAATAACAGGCGGGAAAAAACTGGTGAATGAAAAAGATAGAGGATAACCAAACGTAATCAAATGTTAAATAAATAAGTAAAATAATAAATAAATAAATAAACAAATAAAAAGTAAATAAATTAAAATAGCTGACAAAGGAAAGACTATAAAAGAACTGTCATAGGCGGATCTAGACATCTCGAACGAGAAGTGGCGGAAGGGGGGGGGGGTCCATTGGCCTTTTCCAAAAAAATCTCGAATTTTTGAAGCATCTAATATGCAATTTGAGTCAATTTCGCCATGAATAATTACCAAATTTAAGCGTCTCTTTTCCTTCTTTTCCTCTTTTTCTTTTTTCTCTTTTTCATCCTCTTTTTTTGTGGGCGAACGGGAGGGCGCAAGCTTCTCCCCTCCCCTTTGGATCTGCCTATGAGAATTGTATACAGACTTAAAAGTTAACAAATGTAACTTAAGATAGGTTTTAGAAAACGTTTAGATAATTAAGAAATACATTTTTAATAATAACAGAGCTAAACAATTAAAGTAGGTAAATAAAATCAATACTTAACTAAGGAGTATACATATTGTACATATATTGTAGACCAAATAAAGTAGCATAAATTATTAAAAAAATAAGAAACAGGTTTGCTTCTTATTAAATGTCAATCGTGTATGTACAACATTTTGAGCACCATAATCAGCCCTGCGTTCTGAACTAAGGCCGGGTGATTTTGGGCACACTAACGAGGAAGTAAGGAAGTTGGGAAAATCGTCGGGAAAAGTTTGGAACACGCGCGTTTCCAAGGTTAGGTCGGATTGGATGACACTTTTGCCCGATGAAAAGTAATATCGTGCACTTATTTTATTCGTGTTAAAAACTTAAATTAAATAACTATATTTACTTATCCCTTTTTCAAAAACTTTTCCAAGCTTTCAATGGGAGCGTTCATAAATTGTGCAATCCCCCAGGAAGGAAGAGGGAGTATAAGCCTGTGTTTCGAAGGGGGCAGGGGGGGGGAGGGAATCAGTACCCGTGTTACGCGAGCCTCTCTATTGGTAAAAAAACACCCATAATCCAAAATATACAGGGTTATCCAAAAGCCACCTACCACCCCTGTAACTTTTCTCCTAATTGAGATAGAAGTTTGAAACTTTGGGAGTGTTCCTCGGTCTAAAGTAGCAACTTTTTGGTCCCCCCAAAATTTTGGGGGGCGGCCCTCCCTAAGGGGGGCGGGGGCTAACTTTTTTCAAATAGCAACCCTCTTTTTGGGATACCTCATTCGAAAGATAGTTAAAAAGAAAAATTTTGGCGCAAACCGCAGGTCAAATGTTGATTTTTTACAAAATGGCGGCCGGTCCAAGTTCAAAATGGTGGAAATTTGGCATCTCCGTTTTTTATCGGCGGATTGGTCTGAAACGTAGAATTCTAGAGTATTTCGTGATGAGAAAAACGACTTTGGCATTAGTTTTCCAGAGAAGTCAGTTCTTTCCAAAATGGCGGCTTAGAGCGGGAAGTGGATATTTAGGCTGTTTGTCTTTGAATTTGTATGAGACTTCGTATCCGGGGGTATTTCGGCACGAGAAGAACGAACCTTTCATTGGACTTTTGGAATCCCGAAAAACATTAAAATGGCGGCGAAAAAATGACGGGAAATCCATATCACAGCTATTTACCGATAGATTCGCACGAAAGTCGATACTCTGGTGGTTATTAATTCCAATTTTTAAATTGGAATCCCTCATTAATTAAAAAGTATGAGAGAAATGCAATGCTTATTCCCAAAGCTCTGATTCCACGATCAAAATGAGCCCATTAAAACGGGTCGTGGGGTCATTGATGTGGCCGTTGAGAAGTGGCGATCAATATTAAGGGGCGACCCCAATATTTGATCAACACGAAACGCCGCACCATTATAGCACCAAAAAACCTCTATTCGATTTTCTGTTTGCGATCGATACCAATCAAAAAGTAGAGGCGCCTTGTAAAGTGATTCTAAGTGATATAGGGCAGAAATCCGCCACTACGCTGCACAGTATCTGTTTCTTGGAGAAGCAATAATAATTATAATCTACAAACTGATGGGAGAAAATTATCCATGAAGTGTAGGAGCATCAACATTGAGTAGTATGACATCAAGTTAGTGAAGATCCTTTGAAAATTCCTATCGAAAATTACGAATGACTTCGCTTAGTGACTCAATGTGTAAGATAGAAATAGCATTATTGCATCTCTCTTCTACATATTGAGTCAATGAGCAGCGTCCGTCATGGTAGTTTTCGACCTAAATTATTTTCAACAAATATTTATACTTTGATGCCATTCTACTCAGTGTTAATGCTGCTAGATACACGTAGTGGGGCCGATAAGTGGAAAATATCGTATCAATCGTGCACTTCTGGAAGAAAGCATGAAAATTTCAGGGATTCAGCTCTACCCTATAGACATTCGATTTAGACATAGACCCCAAAAATCTGAGCCCCCTGGGGGGCAGGGGGCCCCAACTTTTGAATTTTGAATAACTGCTGAACGGCTAATGTTAGCGTAATTTTTCTACAACAGGACGATCGGAAATTTTATTAGGAACAAAAATGATTCTTAAGAATTTTTCTGTGAGATCGATACATAAGGCGTGAAACGGGAAAAACCATCGGGGGACGGGGAGCCGGCCGTTCTGATGCAGATCCGCGCGCTGCGCTGCCTGCCAGGGACGCGCGCGGCAGCGCATTACGGTGTTACCGACGACTCAGCCGCTTGTCTTGGTTTAATCTCAACGATGCACAGTTTTAAAAATATATATACAGGGTTATCCAAAAGTCACTGACCACCCCTGTAACTTTCTTCCAAATTGAGATAGAAGTTTGAAACTTTGGGAATGTTCCTCGGTCTAAAGTAGCAACTTTTTGGTCCCCCCAAAATTTTGGGGGGCGGCCCCCCTTATGGGGGGCGGGGGCTAACTTTTTTTTTCAAATGGCAACCCCCCCTTTGTGATACCTCATTCGACAGATGATAAAAAAAGAAAATTTTTGGCGCAAACCGCAGGTCAAAATGTTCATTTTTGACAAAATGGCGGCCGGTCAAAGTTCAAAATGGCGGAAATTTGGCATCTTCGTTGTTTATTGACGGATTGGTGTAAAACTCGGAATCCTAGGGTTTTTCGAGATGAGAAAAACGATTCTGGCATTGGTTTTCCAGAAAAGTCAGTCCTTTTCAAAATGGCGGCAGTCAAAATGGCGGCCTTGAGCGGGAAGTGGATATTTAGGCTGCATATCGTTGGATTTGCATGTAACTTGGTATCTGGGGGTATTTCGGCACTAGAAGATCGAATCTTCCATTGGATATCTAAAATTTTGACAAATTCCAAAATAACGGCGGAAAAATGGCGGGAAATCAGTTTTATGGCTCTTCACCGATGGATTAGCATGAAATTATTTGATATTTCAAGAATCTAATGAAAGATTCCTTTTTAACCAACCAAAAACCGCCAGAATATCGAACTTCATACAAATCCATCGGTGAAGAGCCGTAAAACTGATTTCCCGCCATTTTTCCGCCGCTATTTTGGAATTTGTCAAAATTTTAGATATCCAATGGAAGATTCGTTCTTCTAGTGCCGAAATACCCCCAGATACCAAGTTACATTCAAATCCAACGATATGCAGCCTAAATATCCACTTCCCGCTCGAGGCCGCCATTTTGAAAAGGACTGACTTTTCTGGAAAACCAATGCCAGAATCGTTTTTCTCATCTCGAAAAACCCTAGGATTCCGAGTTTTACACCAATCCGTCAATAAACAACGGAGATGCCAAATTTCCGCCATTTTGAACTTTGACCGGCCGCCATTTTGTCAAAAATGAACATTTTGACCTGCGGTTTGCGCCAAAAATTTTCTTTTTTTATTATCTGTCGAATGAGGTATCACAAAGGGGGGGTTGCCATTTGAAAAAAAAAAGTTAGCCCCCGCCCCCCTTAAGGGGGGCCGCCCCCCAAAATTTTGGGGGGACCAAAAAGTTGCTACTTTAGACCGAGGAACATTCCCAATGTTTCAAACTTCTATCTCAATTTGGAAAAAAGTTACAGGGGTGGTCAGTGACTTTTGGATAACCCTGTATGTAAAGTCGCTGTACAACGCACTTCGGCGTTCTACGACACCCAAACGCCACATATGCCTGTCTTCCCAGAGGTTATCGGGCAACTGACACCGCAACATCTCTTCGTCAACGCCCTGCCGCCAACCCTTTACGGGACACCCCCGTCGCCTCTTCCCAGGTGGTACCCAATCCAAAACTTGTTTGGGCAACCTCTCCTCCGACATTCTTTGCACATGTCCATACCAGCATAACTGCCTGGACATGACGTCGTGCACGATATCTTTCTCAACCTTCATCACCTGGCGAATTCTCGCATTACGGACACGGTCCCGTCTCGAAATGCCGGCAGATCACCGCCAAAAATCCATTTCAGTTGCCCTCAACATTTCTTGCGTTCTTTTCGTCAAAGGCCACACTTCACTACCATAGAGCACGATACTTTTAACGATGGCGTCATATATCCGGTGCTTGTTTGCCTTTGAGATGCTCTGATCCCAGAGCACCCCGTTCAGCATCGCGATGGCTCTCCTGCCCTGGATGATCCTGTCCTGGATGATCCTGTCCTTAATTGCTCTATCCATCCTTCCATCCTGATCAAGCCAGAC